CGTTTGTCGGATTGAGGGTCGCCAAATCAAAGTCGACCTGACGATGGAGATAAATCTCCGAAAACGGTCATCGAATGGCTGTTCCCTTCAGTCTGATGAACTTAATGCAGATAATAAGCATATATGTAGGGGTTAGGCCTTAATAATTTTTTGCTTCTTGTATTTTGTTTATTTATACAAACCCTACCAAGCCTTGAGCTCCATCTACGGTAACGTAGATGAAGCAAACGTAATTCATTATTATGCGACAGAAATCCCATACTGTAGCACACAGGTTTGATACTCTTAATGAATCAATTTTCAATTTTCTCATTAAATATTGATTTTAGGTATAGGAAGTTATTAATAATACAAGATTAAACAACTATTGCACAGTACTTCATAGGAAGCTATCGATTGCGAACTAACTAAATCGTCACTAATTACTAATTTTAAAGTTCTTTTTAAGATCAAAAATGGTAAAACTAAAACCTAAACTATCATTTCAGATTAAACGGGAAGTTCTAAATAATGTTGCCTATTCTAAATAAGAAAAATTTATTTATAAGTTTTATAACATCTCTAATTAAATTTGGACGAAAAGAATATTTCTGTTTGCTGTAGGTAATTTTCTCAGGGAAAATACGAAAATAAAAATGACTTTTTAAGTAAAAAAAAGTCAAAAGGATAAGTTATTCTAAAAAAGGACTGTCCTTTTCAAAAAAGGACAGGTGGCAACCCTAGGTATTTCTGGAATGCAAATTTAATGGCAAATCTACAACTTTAGTTTGAAAATATGTTCCGGCCACCTATGCTCACAAAAATGTCTAAAATGTGGTTTGCCATTGCCTCCATATTCTGAAAAAAAATTGAAAGAAAAGTCACCAACCACAAACCTAATATAGAACTGTTTTGGAAGCCTGAGTCACCCTGTGAATATTCAAAAGTAACTGAAAGTTTATATAGAAGTAACTGAAAGTTTAAATTGAAAATCGACGTTGGAGCGATTTTCGAAAACCACCTACTAACGTTTCAACATAGGTATATGTGGGATATTAATTATATTATTATATTAGACCTTATAACAAAACTCATCTGACAAAAAAGTGTTAATGTAGTATATTAGTATGGAGTATCAATTTTACTAATTATATTACTTTTACTTTATACGAATTAAATGCTTTCCAAAAAACGATACGCCACTGGCCATTAGAACAATCGAAATGCGCCTAGTTGCGGGGGTCGAAAATTTTAGACTTCTCTGTCTCTTCTGTCCTTGTTTGACACATTGGAATGTTTGATACACTACCAACAAGTATTTATGAATGAGATGTTCGGTCTATCTTTATAATGTCTTTGGTATTACTATTGATGCCTTAAAAAATGTAGGACTAGCATCAACATTAAAAAGTTATCTATTAAGTAACACAAATGAAAGTACAAAACTGCAAAATGCAGGTTGGTTTCCACACAGAAAAGAAGAGGATAGAATCTTAGTTGATGATAATGGAAAATTCTCCGTATCTATACCATTAAATCTGCTAATGGGATTCTTTGTAAATTATAGAAACAATATAATAAATATGAAACAAGAGTTGGTTCTTATAAGATCTAATAATTAAATAAATTAAAGACTTAGATGGAGTTTTCTTTAAGGATGATGTGACACCGCCAACTACAACTGTAGAGACCCCAAAAGTTACTTTCGATAAAATATATTGGAAAGTACCACATATTTCAGTTGATATACCACAACAACTAGCTCTCACTAGAATATTGGAGTCAAATAAAGATGTACTAATTGGATTTAAAAGCTGGGAACTTGTTGAATACTCTTCGCTAACTGAAACAACACGACACACATGGTCTGTAAAAACAACTAGCAAACTTGAAGCTCCCCGTCATGTAATAATTGCCTTTCAAGAAAATCGAAAAGGAGATGTTAAAAAAGATATGAGTCAATTTGACAATGTAGATTTAACAAATATTAGAATATTTTTTTAAATTCCGAAAGGTATCCTTATCATGACTTATATTTAAATTTCAAAGAGAACAAATATTCATCTTTATATGAAATGTTTGCAAATGTTCGCTATTCTTATTATGGTACTTCTAATGAACCCATTTTTAATACTGAAAAATTCAAATTGCATATATTGATTGTTCTCACCAAAAGGAAACGCTTCAAATGGGTTCTGTTGTAATGAGAATTGAGTTTAAAACAAACAGTGCAATTAAAAAAGACACATCTGCTTATTGTCTTATTTTACATGATAAATTATTTAGTTACAATCCTTTAACAAAAATTGTTAAACAATTATAAACTTTTACCCCCACTCTCTTAATGTTTAGATTTAATATAAAATAAGTAAACATAGTGTCAGTAGTAGTAGATATTATGTCTTCAACACTACAACTAAAAATACAAAAATTTATTTTTAATATACAAAAATTGAAAGAACAAATTGCAAACCACTCAAGGCAAAAAAACCTAATTAAAAAGTTTAGTGAATTAAAAATATGAGGTTGATTGTGGATATACAAAGATTTAAAGATGAGAAAAACACCTTTTTACCTAAAGAACTTGCAGCCTTTTCTGGACATAGAATCTCACATTATATCTTTAAGAAACCCTATCCATTAGACTTTCTGTCACCAGAATGTCACAGACAGGCAGTATGGCTAATGAAAAACCATCATTGTATCAACTGGAATGAAGAATTTACACCTCACCATTATTTTTCAAATATAATTGAAAAACTCAATGAAGAAGTAGCAGTGGAATATGTTTATGTCAAAGGAGCTGAAAAAACAGAATTTGTAAAGAAATATTCCAAAAAACCAGTGATTGAAATAGATGGAAAACCAAACAACCAGCTTTGCCTATCAGAACACCAAAACGCTTTTATCATTCTAAGTCAATTTGTATGTGTGCATTATCATATATAAATGTATTGTATTTGTATGATTTTTTTTTATGAATGGATAAAAATCTATATAATATTTATTACATCTTTTATTATTAAAATATATTTTTTATACTAAATTAATACTTCTGTATCAACTAAGTTATTGGATGAATTATCCTGGTTAACTAAGTTACTATTTATGTTAGTGTTTATATCATTTATTACTTGTTCGTAGGGTATTCTTCCATTTTTAACAAATTTATTTAAATATGTTATTTGATTTATAAAGCCTAAGTCTATCATTACAGATAATAATTCTAATACATATATCATAATTTTCATAATATTGTGGCACACGCACTCATTCCTTTTTCATACTTATTAATCCCCCATATCATAATATATTTTTTTCATCTTTTTTCCAATACATGATACCGCACTAATAAGTTCAATATTCTCACTTGACATTTTTCACTTTAAAACAAAATATAGTTTTTTAAATATTTTGAAGCATGATATTGACGAAGAAGTCTATGTTTTCTTGGTCAGGTATGGAACAATGTGTGTTAGTTCACTTGCAAAATATGGATGTCCCAATGCACGTATGAACTTGTAAAGAATAATCCTTTGTAACAGAAAATCAGTACAAAACTCTGTTATCCTATGACAAATTTGTTTGAGTGGAAAAAATAAATCCTTTTGATTAATTAAAACTATTTGATGAGAAATAGTTTGACAAAAGTCAGTATATTTTTGAATCAGCTTTCTAACAACATTAGCTATTTTTTTCTTATCATATTGCATCACTCTCTCAATTAATAAAAGAGATTAACTTTATTTTCTTCTAAAGATCTACCTTGCTAACTATATATGACTAGGTAAAGATATAGTAGGGTTAAAAGTAGTGGGGATAAAAGTAATGGGAATTAACATATTTTTGAATCATATATTATATTGGTGGTGGGAGGAGGAGGAGGATCTCTCATATATTATCTACTGGTTTCTATTTGAAAAAAATGATTTATGATAATTTTTTAATCGCTCAATTCCATGACAGCTACCGCCTTTATTATATAACATTTGAACAATTTTATTTTTTAAATAGATATCCACATGTCTTCTCTTTATGATACAGTAGCTGTGGTAATTACTAAATTTGATTTTTAGGATATTCAAATTTTTTTGACAGGTAGTTTTTTTTGTCCAAAAATTTTAAATAGTATTTTTTTTCTCAAAAGTGGTTAATGTTAGATATAGTGTTTAACACCAATATTCATAGAATTTTCCAGAGAATTTAAGTATGTAATAAAAAATGGGGGCACCCATTTAAAATAAGAAAGTTGCTGTCAACTTCCGGTATTTCCGGATGTGCCACCATATTGAAAATATTTTTAATCAATAGGTTTCGTTGTAAAACAATGGTGTGCAAAAAATCTCCGATCTAGACATTGTGGTTTTCTAGAAATTTCTAATGCACGCTCTGCCTGGGACACCCTGTATATGAGTGGAAGAAGCATGAAACGTTGTAATAGTGATAATAATTGATTAGTTATCGATCGAGGTTGAAAATTGTTGAATTACTAATATCGCTATTAAAAAATAGGGGTTGATGATAAGAGGGTAAAAATTTAGGATTCTATATATTTGTTAATGCCATATCATAAAAAATAAAAATAAAAAAATTTGTACAAAGAATTAAAAAAAAATTAGGGTGAACCACCCTTATCACTTGGGGGTATAAAAAATAGATAACAACAACAACCTATTCTCAGATCTACTGAATATGCATATAAAATTTCACCAAAATCAGTCCAGCCATTTTGGAGAAGTGTGGTAGCAAAAATTGTGACACGAGAGTTTTATATAAATATTAGATTTGACTTACTTAAATCTTTTTAAAAAGACTTAAACATTTTAAAAGATTAAAGTCTCTTTTTAACAACTTAAGTCTTTTATTTTGAAAATTACTTAAATCTTCTTAAGTATTAAGTCAGTTTTCAAAAAATTACTTAAGTCATTAAAATTATTTAAATCAAAAAAAAAGTTAAGTTTTATGTCAGCTTGCAACTTTGTTATCAGGTAACAATATCTATATTATGAAACTATATTTACCATCATATAATCATTATCTAATGCTAGTAGTTGAGAGTCTGTCTTGACGCTTTCCAATTCCTTAATTTTATTTTCATTCTTTTCTGCCTCGTTAGGTGTTTCTGATAGAAGAATTGCTAAAATTTGTTGTCCATTTTTAACCCCTTGATTTCGTAGACATTCATCACATAACAGAACTTTTCCTGCAGATATTAATTTTATCCTAAAAAGATAGATAACATTAATTTTTAGTAATCAATATAATTTTTAGATAAATGTTATATCAATGAAATTGTACAACAAACTTACTTATCTGGCTCAATACTAACATCTTGACATATTTTTTCTCTTAATTCACATCCTCTACAGCTTAACATCATCTCTTTAATTAATATTCTAGGTGGTTTTCCCTGACTCACAATTTTAATTTTTAAGGTGGCAAGTCCAGAATCTTGAAAGCGATTTCTTTGTTTTAAATTTTCCAGCGAATTTACTTGCAATTCTTTTACAATTTCAAGGCAAGTGTCTATTGATAACGATAAAGTTTCGCTTATTACTTTGCTTAAATTCTGTAATGTATAAGATATACGATTATTATATTCTTCTATATATAATATCATATTCCTTTTATAATAGCAGACGAGACTTAGATAAAAATACCTTTAAATTAGCTTCAGACGTCCCTTCGTCGGTATAATAAGGTGTAAGCCATAATTTAACTTCTTGTTTACGCAATATATCTTTAATCTGGATCAATAAATCATCTTTTTCGACAGAATTATTCATGTTTCTAAAGCGAAATTTTGGCCGAATTTGTAAAACTGAATATCATTCCATACACAAATTCTACATAACAGACAAAACAATGATCATACAATGATTAACAGAATTTAAATAAGTAAACCTGAAGTAAACAAAGAAAAATGCCAGGTTAAGTAGTAGTAGTATATTAGTTTAATGGCCACAGCTGCCAGGGCTATCCGGCCGGATGGTAGAATTAACTACCTACGGTTGAGCGTTTATATAGATCAGCGGTCGCCAACCTGTCGATCGCGAGCTACCGGTAGCTCGCGGATGCAATTCTGGTAGCTCTCACAATTTTAAAAACACAAACTGCAAAAATCAGAGAAGCTTCCGAAAATTCCACAAAAAAATGTAATTGTCATAATATTAAACATAAACAGCGGCAACGTTGCGGTGAGCGATGCCGCTGACGCCATCAAGCTAGAAGCGGCTAGAACCATAAAATAATTAACTAGAAAGAAGTGTCAACTCTGTGTTAAATCGTGGAAACACGATACGCCACCGAAAGCCTTCGTTGTCGTCTGGAGAACTAACTTTCCAATTGACAGGTTGACATGATAAGGACATGATGGCTTAATTTTCATTTCCGTTTCCGGTTATTCAATGGCGGGCCCTCTTTCGGTTCAAATGTATTTTGTATTTTTTCTTTTCATAAATAAAACCAAAAAATAATTTATTCACATATATTTATTTGAAATATGGAACAACGTAACTAAATAAATATAAAAATATAGAGGATTATATTGTTTCAATACCAATTAGTTAATTATATGCACTTTTAACGTAAATTAGTTAAGTTGGTGATGACTTACAGTAATTTGTAAATAAACACACGCATTCGCAAACTTCAAGGACAGAAAACGGACACAGGAATATGAAAACGGGAGCCTTATACAAAAACCTGAAAACAGAAAAACAATTTTTTTATACTAAAATTAACAATGTAAAAATATCAATAGGTATAAAATATAAATATACTGTTTAAAAAAAGCGTCCATTATTCCCAAAGAACCTGGCTTATAAATCAAAAAAGATGCAAAGAGACTTTAGTCGGATAAGATAATGAGATTATCAGTCCGATTTATTGCATTATTGACAATAAATCGCACATACTGGAGATAACTAATGTTGGCTATAGTTAAAAATGATCTTACCTTGCTGTAAATTGTTTCCATTTTCAAAAAAATCGCCGATCAAAGAGATTATAACACCATTTTCTTGCATCTAAAAATGTAAAAGCAGTGTTTATTTACTTACCTATTTTTCATATACATGGGACATACATACTGCATAAACGTCATTTTCTCCAGGATTCTTCATGTAATACATATTTTATATACTTTATTACCTTTATATTTATAAATTTCAGCCGAAATATTAAACTGAACTTCCTAAACGAAACTAAACGGAATGAATTAAAATGGCGTCGAATATTTTCGAATTTGTTCTAGAACAAATCTGAAGTTGTCTCTGAAACTGAAATCTGTCAATTCTAAACTGTGAAGTTAGACAATAGTTAGACAAAAACAATGCTGTCCTTGTCTAGGCGGCCATACTTGTCGTGAGGAGAATGACAGGAATGACACTAATGACTGTTTCCAATTTTCCTATTTCACTGTCACCCCCCTGGCTAGAACCGACCGGCCGGACCAGCGCGTTAGTGTTCGAGAGAGAACGGTCTGGATTGCTTTGAACGGTATAAATACGCACGGTGCGGCGACATTGCGCTTAGTTTAAAACTGAACCTGAACGCATAACCAACGTCCAGCGGTTGGGTTAGTAGAGAACAACAAAAAAGAATATTATGGCAAGCAGTAGTAAGAAGGTAAAGACATACCACTTTCATTCGGAATGGGAAGAACAGTACTTTTTTACAGAAGTTAAAGGTAAAAATGTGTGTTTGTTATGTAATACTTCGGTCTCCGTTGCTAAAAAAGGAAATATTGAGAGACATCATACAACTGTACATTCTAATTTTGAAAAATCATTCCCACTACATTCTGTCGCCAGAAAGGAGAAACTGAAACAGTTAAAAAATCAGTTAATCGGACAACAATCAATATTTTTAAGAACAGTCGACAAAAATAAGGCTGCAACTGAAGCATCGTACCGTGTGTCCCAGATAATTGCACAAAAAAAGAAACCTTATGAAGACGGGGAAATGATAAAACAGGCGTTTTTAGAAGCTGCTGATTCGTTATTTGCCAACTTTAGAAATAAAGACGAGATACTTTCAGCTATAAAATCTATGCAACTTTCTGCTAATACAGTGATGAGACGTGTAGAAGTAATGAGCAATGATATTTTTTTACAGTTAAGAACTGACTTAGATAACTGTGTTTATTTTTCACTTCAACTGGATGAATCAACAGATGTGGTTGAGACTGCCCAGATGGCCGTGTTCGTCAGGATGGTTTTTAGTGATTTTACGATTAAAGAAGATCTTTTGAAGTTTATTCCACTGAAAGGATACACTACTGGACAGGAGTTGTTTTCTCATTTAAAAAATATTATTTCTTCCGAGAAAATTCCAATATCGAAAATGGTAGGCTTGACAACCGATGGCGCTCCAGCTATGGTGGGTTGTGATAAGGGTCTGGTGGCGTTATGTCGTAAAGATGAAACTTTTCCGCAATTTCTCTCTTACCACTGCATTATCCATCAGCAAGCATTATGTGGAAATTTTCTGAAACTAAACAACGTTATGAAACTGGTGGTAAAAATTGTGAACAAGATTAGAGCTCAAGCATTACAAAGAAGATTATTCAAAACTTTGGCCGATGAAGTCGACTGTCAATACGGGGACCTACTCCTTCACTCTGGAGTCCGATGGCTAAGTAGAGGACGAGTGCTGAAACGTTTTAATGATGTCCTATCTGGCATAGTTCAATTTTTCAAACAACGCGATGAACCGATTCCGGAACTAGAAAATTCAATCTGGCTTCGGGATTTTGGTTTTCTCGTGGACATTACAGAGAAATTAAACGAACTTAATTTGCAGCTTCAGGGGAGAGACAAAGAACTAGCGGAAATGATTTCTGATATAAAAGCATTTATCAGAAAGCTGGAGTTTTGGGAACAAAACCTAATTAACAGCGATGCCAAGCATTTTCCTATTCTTTCAGAAAAGATATCTCAAAATCCATTAGAACCCTATGACAGCAAATATCATGTAGAAATAGTTTCTACCTTGAAGAATAACTTCAAAAATCGTTTTAAGGACTTCGACGAAATGGCTTTAGTAGCGCAGTTTGTTGGTTCACCCTTTATGGAAATTGATATCCAACAGTTTGCAACTTGTGTTATGCAGAACTTTGGCGAAGACATCGCTGCAACAGAAATGGAAGTAATTGAGTTTCAAAATGATTTAGCCTTAAAATCGTTAGTCTCAAGTACCAAATGTATCTGGTCTATTGTAAGCAAAGACAAATATTCAGTTCTATGCCGTGTTGCCTTGAAAGTGAAAGCATTATTCAGTTCAACCTATTTGTGTGAATCTTCTTTTTCCAATATGAAGTTTATTAAGAACAAATATCGCAATCGACTTACAGATGAACATTTGGATAATTGTATTCGAATGGCTGTATCAAATTATACTGCAAACATTAAAAAAATTATCGATGAGTCTGAGTGTCAGCCTTCCCATTGAACGTGCTTTTTTATTTCTCAATGTTTATGTTTATGATAGTGCGTTACTTTTTTGTTGATATTAATAACAATTTTTAAATCTTACGTGACATGCCGTTGTGGCTGGATAAAAGTTTGTGTTTATTTTTCAAACACCTTCGTTTGGTAGGTAGGAATGTAGCTATGAACAAGTACGTACTAGTAATATTAGTTGTTTTGTTATTAGTTTATTATTAGTACCTATGACATGTATTATGTATTACCAGTTAAATAGTAAAATAAATACATATAATGATAAATTAACTCTGGATTATTTCATTTACGTTGCGTTACGTGGCTTCCGTGTGGGTAGCTCACTGTTTATTCCAAAATTAACATAGTAGCTCAACACATTGAAGAGGTTGGCGACCGCTGATATAGATGATGGACACATAGGTCGCGTTCATCAGGATAAGTTGATCCATGGTACAAAGAATACAAGGTATGATATTGCGCAGGTTGGTCGCTACGTCACAGGTGATAACAGGCGCTATTGGTCAGCACGCTCCGCGCGCCAGTTCAAATCGTCAAGATATTGTTATAAACCTGTTTTTTTGTTTATATACCGTCATTGAATTATCCTGCAAACAAGTTACTGTGGAGCAGTGCGTAAGAGGAGTCGGGCTAGGGAAGCGAGAGACCCGAGTTCGAATCTCGGCACCGGGACATAACTTTTTATTTATTTTTTTTAAATACTGTTGTATTCTATAGTTTATTTTTTGTAGTATAAAAAAGAACTATTTATTCCGTTATTTTTAATCTCCGTTATTAATATAAATTGATTGTTAGTACAATACCTCATTTAATATAAAATAATATTCTACTTTTGAAATATATCGGGCCCTAATTGTACTAAAGTAATATATTTTTTAGTGATATACCATATTGTAAATTATTTAATATTTCAGTCACTTAAAAAGTTAATTTGCATTGAATAATTGCCTACCATTAAAGGAAATTTGAGCTATATAATCCTTGATGGGCATATTCTGGGTATGCAAATACTTCCTTTAAATTTTGGGTGTCGTTCAACCGATTTATTCTCAAAACCAGAAACATCTACATATAAAAAGAAGCACAGGTCACTAATTATAATAAATTTCACCCTTGGTGTATTACTTCCACTAATTATAATAAACTTCACCCTTAGAATTACTTCTATCACAATTACAATACGTTCATCTGCATTGGCATTTTCTACTTTTCGATGTGAAACAATAAACTTCCCAACATTTTTTAAATGATGCCAACAATTCCTCTTGTGGTTACTTTTCCATAGATATCCTCAACTCTGTCCTCATGTGAATTCAGAGGCAATGAAAATGAAAATTATTTACCATAAACATCGCAAACTAAAACCTAATGAAACAATTTTTATACCGAATATAGAAATAAATTTAGTATTCTTACCTATCGTCCAAATCCATGTTAATAGATAATTATTATTTTTTAAATATATTTTTGGAACTGCTGGTTTTAGTAATTATTAAATTAAACGAACTAAAAAGTCTTAAAATAAACAATTCTTAACCATAACCAGAGCCATAACCCCAAAAAATGCAGATCTCCTGTCAACTTTCTTTATTTTTTATTTATTCATTATTTTCCTGGTGACGTCACAGGTGGTATGCGCGAACTGAACGAAATTGGAGCCGCTATCGATCATACCTTGTATTCTTTGTACCATGAAGTTGATCAGTGAGCGATGCAGGGGGGTGACAGTGAAATAGGAAAATTGGAAACAGTCATTAGTGCCATTCCTGTCATTCTCCTCACGACAAGTATGGCCGCCTAGACAAGGACAGCATTGTTTTTGTCTAACTCTTGTCTAACTTCACAGTTTAGAATTGACAGATTTCAGTTTCAGAGACAACTTCAGATTTGTTCTAGAACAAATTCGAAAATATTCGACGCCATTTTAATTCATTCCGTTTAGTTTCGTTTTGAAAGTTCAATTTAATATTTCGGCTGAAATTTATAATTATAAAGGTAATAAAGTATATAAAATATGTATTACATGAAGAATCCTGGAGAAAATGACGTTTCTGCAGTAATAGGTATGTCCCATGTATATATGAAAATAGGTAGTAAATAAACAGTTTTTACATTTTTTAGATGCAAGAAAATGGTGTTATAATCTCTTTGATCGGCGATTTTTTTGAAAAATGGAAACAATTTACAGCAAGATTAAAAGATTATTTTTAACTATAGCCAACATTAGTTATCTCCAGTATGTGCGATTTATTGTCAATAATGCAACAAATCGGACTGATAATCTGATTATGTTATCCGACTAAAAGTCTCTTTTGCTTCTTTTTTTTTGATTTATAAGCCAGGTCTCTTTGGGAATAATGGACGCTTTTTTTTAAACAGGTATATTTATATTTTTATACCCAATATATCAATATTAAATAAATTTAATATTGATATTTTTTACATTGTTAATTTTAGTATAAAAATTTGTTTTTTCTGTTTTCAGGTTTTAGTATACCCAGGACTATTTTGTATAAGGCTCCCGCTTTTCATGTCCCTGTGTCCGTTTTCTGTCCTTGAAGTCTGCGAATACGTGTGTTACCCGTGTGTTTATTTACAAATTACTGTAAGTCATGCTTATACCTTAACTAATTTACGTTAAAAGTACATATAATTAACTAATTGGTATTGAAACAATACAATCCTCTATATTTTTATATTTATTTAGTCACGTTGTTCCATATTTCAAATAAATATATGTGAATAAATTATTTTTTGGTTTTATTTATGAAAAGATAAAATACAAAATACATTTGAACTGAAAGAGGGCCCGCCATTGAATAACCGGAAACGGAAATGAAAATTAAGCCATCATGTCCTTATCATGTCAACCTGTCAATTGGAAAATTAGTTCTCCAGACGACAACTAAGGCTTTCGGTGGCGTATCGTGTTTCCACGATTTAACACAGAGTTGACACTTCTTTCTAGTTAATTATTTTATGGTTAGGATGATACACCATAGGCGTAGTCAAAACAATTATCAAAAAATATAAATATTGCTTCAAACAGCTAGGTTAAGAAAAATATGTGCCACGGCACTGTTTGATGCCAGCGTCACAATTTGCTGTCGGGTGTTATTTGTCCTTGGATTCTTTAGTCATTGGAACAAACCAATTGCGGTACTTTATATATCTAGGGACTTTAAATCGTGGAAACAAGATACGCCACCGAAAGCCTTCGTTGTCGTCTGGAGAACTAATTTTCCAATTGACAGGTTGACATGATAAGGACATGATGGCTTAATTTTCATTTCCGTTTCCGGTTATTCAATGGCGGGCCCTCCTTCAGTTCAAATGTATTTTGTATTTTTTCTTTTCATAAATAAAACCAAAAAAATAATTTATTCACATATATTTATTTGAAATATGGAACAACGTGACTAAATAAATATAAAAATATAGAGGATTGTATTGTTTCAATACCAATTAGTTAATTATATGTACTTTTAACGTAAATTAGTTAAGGTATAAGCATGACTTACAGTAATTTGTAAATAAACACACGTATTCGCAGACTTCAAGGACAGAAAACGGACACAGGGACATGAAAACGGGAGCCTTATACAAAAACCTGAAAACAGAAAAACAAATTTTTTTTATACTAAAATTAACAATGTAAAAATATAAATAGGTATAAAATATAAATATACTGTTTAAAAAAGCGTCCATTATTCCCAAAAGAGACCTGGCTTATAAATTTAAAAAGAAGCAAAAAGAGACTTTTTAGTCGGATAATCAGATTATCAGTCCGATTTATTGCATTATTGACAATAAATCGCACATACTGGAGATAACTAATGTTGGCAATAGTTAAAAATGATCTTACCTTGCTGTAAATTGTTTCCATTTTTCAAAAAAATCGCCGATCAAGAGATTATCACACCATTTTCTTGCATCTAAAAAAATGTAAAAACAGTGTTTATTTACTACCTATTTTTCATATACATGGGACATACCTACTACTGCAGAAACGTCATTTTCTCTCAGGATTCTTCATGTAATATATATTTTATATACTTTATTACCTTTATATTTATAAATTTCAGCCGAAATATTAAATTGAACTTCCAAAACGAAACTAAACGGAATGAATTAAAATGGCGTCAGATATTTTCGAATTTGTTCTAGAACAAATCTGAAGTTGTCTCTGAAACTGAAATCTGTCAATTCTAAACTGTGAAGTTAGACAATAGTTAGACAAAAACAATGCTGTCCTTGTCTAGGCGGCCATACTTGTCGTGAGGAGAATGACAGGAATGACACTAATGACTGTTTCCAATTTTCCTATTTCACTGTCACCCCCCTGATCCTAACTAATTACGAAAAAAACGTACTAAAATGTTAACAAAAGATACAAAACTAGTATCGACGTATAGCACATATCAAGTACATATAGATGTTAACTGAAATTGAAGAATAATTATCGAATTCAATAAGAAAACGCTAAAAAGTTGGAGTGGACTGTTTATTTACCTATGAAACGTAACTCCCTGGCTCTTTCTTGTCGCTGTGGCTTTTACACTTGAAAGCTACACAATTCACCATTGTAACAAAGTTTATACAAAGTTCACTACACACAACAAACTATTAAAAATCGCTAAAATTGTCGCTGGTGACTGGATGATGACTCACTGTTTGGCATCAAACGAATGGCGTCTAACGTCACAAATCCTACTACAGCCCGTACAGGGGCGTTACATGTCCTTATATTCTTTAGTCATTGGTTTGTTCAATGTATGGAGGGCTTAAAAAAGGAGATTTATCGGCAATGGGCAAATTTGAAATTTCTGTCCCCACTTTTAAGCAGCTTCCTCGGTTTGACAGCAGAGGCACTGCGATCGACTGGGATACTACATTTTCATTGTTAGTATACGATTTAATTGTGTTTTTAATAAAATTTATAGTTAATTTACTGAATTTTTAGCAGTACAACAATGAGTCGTGGTAGAAATTGCTTTGTACCTGGCTGTACAAGTGGGAATCCCAATAAAAACAAGGCAAATAAAGAACGGGGTGAAAGAAACCCAAGCCTTTTCAAAGCTCCTAATGTAAGTAGTATGACTATTTATTTATAAAAATTATGGATAGATGTTAAGAAAAACATTAAAATTATATACTGTCAGTGTACAGATTAAATTATAAACCAAATTAATAGGAAATATAGCCTAAAATCAACATGTGTATAACATAACCTAGGAGGCCTTGTTATAAAATTAAAATAATTTAATACTTACTAGGTGCTAAAATTACCTGTTGACATGTACCTATATTAACCACAGTTTGAACAGTGCTATTGAAAGTGAATATTAAATATTTATACTTCAAGATCGTATTCTCAAAATAACAGCTTATATAAATATATATAATAATATATATAAATATTTATAT